TTTTTCACTTGAAACTTTCGTATTACATACTTTGCAAAATAAAATTTTGTTATCTGTTGAAAATATTTCTGTTCCAAATTCAGTAACATAACTTTGTAAACGACTAGATGTCGTCTTTTTTTTCTTTTGGCATTTTAAAATTATGCTTGTTAAGTGTTAACTAATAGAAAATTTAAACGAAAATATTACAAACAACGTATTACCACTCACGAGACGACGACAACACTATCGCGCGTCGGTTTGTCTACCATAATATAATAGATTAAGATTAAAGATATTTCAAGTTAGACTTTTGACCACAGACCTGCGATAATAACAGGAGACAATTGCATGCCACTCTAGACCGGGTTTAACACATGTTCCTGTTATTATTACCACCGCGATAAAATTACAACGGTAAAATTGTATCGTCCAAATTCAAGAAATTTTACAAATTAATGAGAAAAACATATTATTCAAATGAGAAAAAAGCAAAAACAAGAGGAATTCGCGAAATCATGCATTTATATGCCCTTACCGGTTAAATATGCAAAAATATGCAAAATAAGATTTCGTATTTAATTTATAAATAACGCAAAACAAATTTTGATCAAATCCATTTTCTTATACAATGTAGCAAAAAAAACATGCAAGTGCATGAAATTCACAGCCCTGGTGATGACTTTTGATGTATTTTTTTTTTGGTGGTTCATGCTGTTTATTGTTTATTGAGATGCAGCCTCCTCGACCACCCTGTTTATACTACTGGAACAGACCATATAATCATACAGTCAGCATCTACCGTTTAGTATTACAATGTTTGTAATGTGATGTAATATTTGTCATTAAATTTATTATTAAAATTACTATGAAATAAAAAATAATTTTTTTCTTTTAACTAGGATCTCATAATCAGCTATCTTTACGGAAATATAAAAGCCGTAAAGATTATGCACAAGATATTGCCCTACTTCACTTAATATATAGTCAATGGCCACTACATCAGATAATATATTATTATTATGGTGATGTCGGAGTCACCGGCATGACAAGAAAGACACTTCTCCGTGCGACGCTTTAGAGTCAACAAGCCGTCGTCACGTTGCCGCCCCAAACTCTGTTCGTCTTTTTTATGTCATATTGTAAATCGTTTAAGTGTGCTATCGCGTTCAACTCGTCTTTTACCAAGTTTGGGTACTTATGTGTTGCGATTGTACCTGTAACTTAGAACGTTTTGCACAGTCTCGCGTACAGATTCATATACACACACACACATATATATATATCGTATATCGCGGTTTCCTCATTACGTAAAACTTAAATATATATATTGTGTCTCGCATTCGTTTTTGTACTGATGCGTGGTCATCCCGTTCATTGTTAACTTAATATAATATTGTGTGTCGCGATTTCCGTCGTTTAACGATCAGTCGGCGTGTGTAAACGGTGTAAACTGTAAGTGCCGTCGCGCACTTGAAGAACAAACAGCCGACCAGTGTCTAATTGTCGACGTCAATTTTTCACCTGCCATCAGCAATATCCACATTGGAATGGAGTCACGTAAATATTATTATAGTTTATTATATATCATATCATACTGATTGTACTACGATTCTGTTACATCGTGTTTGTCTGATTATTATTGTTATTATTATTATTATTATTTATATTATAATTATCACGATGACAGTGCTTGTGATATTATATATCTCAATTGATGTGTAAACACACGTCGTCGTTGATAACACAACATTTCACGTATTTGTATTGTTTGCAATATTATATTTTTCTTAAATACGTTAAAAAATACGACTCAGATATTTACATCTTGTATGGTCACCTCTTCTTTGGGCAAATATCCACAATTATTAGTATTTATTTTTCGGTGGTGTAGTCATCGAGGCCGACCACTTAATCGTAGGAGCCGTGTGGCTAAACAAGATTATTGATATTAAATATAATAATATGCAAGTGCATATTTTAGTTTACATACGGATACCATGGTTCCTCGATTTTTCTTTATAATTGAAATTGCTTATATTTTTAAAATATTGTAGGACATTTTAATTACATAATCCCATACACAGGAAACACTATGTAGGCATTAGAAATGATTCATTGTAAGCTATAATTAATCTAATGTTCTATATATTTCGTACCATCCAATTATTTTTTCTGCAGTAGTCATTAAAGTATTAATATATGTCTAGCAATATTATGAAACGGTTAACGTATTAAATTTTGATTAACATTGACATAGTAGAGTTTCTACTTGCCTAAAGCATATAATATAACGCAGTCATAACAATTTTTCATTAATTTTATTACTAAATGGTATTGACAGATAAAGCGTAGAGCAAGTCTTTCTAAGCTTCAAGTACATAATTTCATCATTATGACCAGGGCTGTAAATTTATAGGAAAGTGCATTTTTTTTGGCAATTGTAATGCATAGCTTTGTAAATACATAATTTGAATTATGTAATTATGAATCCATTTATGAAACTTTTATTTTGTATATTTTTGCATTTTTTGACTTTTTAATTTTTTTAAGTCATATGTTGCTTTTTTAGTTCATTTTCTAGTATTTTTAACCGAATTCTGTCAATTGACTTGTTTGAAAACTTTTTTTTATTTTACACAGGCTGTATATTATATTATGTGAAATTTATATTTTATTAAATAATATTTTATACAAGTCACAAGCTATATACGATTATGTAAAGATAACGATTCGATAAAAAACGTTTTTATTGAATAAACCCTTTTTTGTACTGTTTAATATCCTGTACCTAATATTTATATAAATATAAAAATTAAATAAAAACCATTTTAAATGAATTTTATACTATAATTTTTGACATTTTAAATTCCTTTTTTTGCATTTTAAGTGCATATATTGCATTCTAAGTAAGACCATAATCATATTACATTTAATAATTGAATAACACATATTTAACTTTTTTCTCATAATTTTTATTATAATTAAATAATAACTTTATTTTCAATATATTTTTAATAAAATTTGTAAGTGCTAACAGTGTTGTATTATTTTAGATTTGTTATTAACCATTGACACAGATCTAAAAGAGAATGTAAAATTAAAATCAGTTGCATCCGTTTACACATTTAGATTATATTACTATAAAAATATTATTAAAATTCTCTTAAAAATAAATAAATTTTAAATATTAAAAAAAAAAACCGTACAATTAGCTTAAAAAAAACATACTAAATTTTTTTAATGAGAAATAGTTATTTTACGTGTAAATATCCATTTTAGTCGAAATTATTATCTTCGCAGCTTTATAAAATGTCTTTTTTTTT